CACACACAAATTGCATTCTGCCTAAGTGTGCCTAACTTATACTGTATTGGGTGAGTAGTTCATTCCTACAATTCAGCACATTCGGAGGTTGAGACAGGAAGATTTCAAATCCCAGTCCACAGATGAACACTGCTTACTGACCTGCTCCCTATAGTATGCTCATCCTGCTTTCATATATAACCCAGGACTACCTGACCAGGTAGCAACCCCCAGAGTAATTGGTCTGGGTTCTCCCACACCAATCATTAATCAAGAAAGTGCCCCCACAGACTTGCCTACATGCCTACTACAGACCAATCTGAAGAAGATGGGTTTTGTTTTGTTTTGTTTTTCCGTTGAGATGCCCTCTTTCAGATAACTCTAGCTTATTTCAAGATGACAAAAAAACAAAACAACATCCATTTGGGGCCTTGGGATGTACTACGTTTGGGGTATGGCAGCTTTCAGAAAACCTTAAGATAATGGGACGATTTTCTCCTGTTCCCCATGTCCTCCTTCATAGGGAGTTGAATGAATATTTTGACATGGGCTTGGCCATGTTGAGGACTCCAAGATCTTGGACACATGGAAAATATAGGCCAGGCTCAAGAGGAGTGGCAAAGTTCTCCTATGGAGTCCAAGTATGAATGTTCACAAACTACTGATGAGTGTGTACAAAGACTAGTAACTGCAGCTTCCTCCTTGCAATGTTTATAGATGAGACTACTCACCTACAGAGACCTCCTATTGAAACTAGGTAGCTCTTTTTTCAAGTGCTTTAACTAATAAAGACACGGAGGTGCCCTGTAGCCACAGTAGAGGTGGCTTTGTGTGTCTGTGTCTGTCCTCCTTTACTATCCTTAGCCAGGGTACCAAGGCCCAGGCTGCACAGGACACAGCATTCCTTTCTGTTTGCTAGACTATGGGTGTGATATCTACAATTCCAGCAACCATGCTGGGTTTTCAGGTGAAAACATGTTCAAATTGGCAGAGCACTAAGGTACAGGTGTGCGTCCCCAGTAGTCACCTAGCTGCCATTGCCACCTCGGGACATCTATCTATAAGCTCCCAAGCAAAACTTGATCTATCCTATATGAGGTCTAAATGAAAATCAATTCCTCAAACTCCAAAAGGTAAATATCCAGACATGAGCTCAACCTGGACTATAGGAGGATTTCTGGAAGATGGATAAATGCCAGCATGCTTCAGGAACATATGAAACTGGCTCCCATCTACCAAAAGGAACCATTTCCCTTAGCTCTGACAGAGCCTGGTGACTATGAGCACATCAAAGTGAATGCTGGCCTCCAGGCGCCTCAGTATCACATACACATTCCAAAGGCTAAGCCAGCATCCTAGTGTTGCTGGAGTTTCTTGTCCCACCTGGTCCTACAGTCACCCCAAATGGATACACAGAGATACTATATTAATTATTAAACTGTTGGCGGCGACTAGACCTTCTTACTGGCTAGCTCTCTCTTAATTATTATCCCATAACTACTAATCTATATATTTCTACATTTCCTTATCTTGCCAGGGAACACCTGGCATGTCCTGCCCTCCCGGTCTGGTGGTGTCTCTTTGACATGCCTCTCTGCCTACCTTTCCCAGAATTCCCCTCATCTCCTAGCCCCGCCTGTCTTCCTGCCTCTATTGGCCAAACAATGTTATATTCATCGACCAATAAGAGAAACATAAAAACAGAAGGACATCCCCCATTATCCTAGCCTTTCTCACCTCTTCTCCTACCCTACTAGCTCATTCTCCATATAACCCTGCTACCCGTTTTTTCTACAGCTCTAGCTCTGCTCTCCTTCTCTCACAGAAAGCCCTGGCCGGGTCCAGTCTGTTGGGCGTGTTCAGCCTACTTCTCTCTCTTTGACTCTTCCAGATGCCTCTGACTGTTCTCTTTCATTTCTACAATAAACAATTTCTCCTTAACTATACCTCAGAGCAGTCAATTGTCAGTTTATATACCCCAGACCCGAAATGGTGAAGTAAAGCTGAGAGGTAGATAGCCACAACTTATTTTAGTTTTCTGTTATTGGCACCAGGTAGCTCATGCTACCAGACTGAGAAGAGAGACTGCTACCAGTGCTCAAGGCCAACCTGGGCTACAGTGAGAATCTCACACACACACACACACACACACACACACACACACACACACACACACACAAGTTGGATGGGGTATAGTATTGCACTGTAATCCCAGTACTCAGGAGAAGAGGCAGCCAAAACTCTTGAGTTCTAGTCTAGCCTACTCTACATAGTCACAGGCCAGAGGCACACAGTAAGACTCTAACAACAAGAGAGATGAGCAGGTCATGGTGAACAGGAAGATGAGTTCAAGGTCATTCGTGTCTTATGTGTGCAGTTTGAGGCCAGCCTGGACCACAGAAGATCCTAGCACAAATAACACCCTGTGTTGGAACCCTGCCTCCTGAGTGCTGGGATTAAAAGCATGGACCACCACACCTGGCTCTTTAATTTTAGGTGTGTGGGTGTTTCCCCTTCAGGTATGTCTATGCACATGTGCACAGTAGCCACAGATGCTGAGAGGGCATCAGAAGCCCTGGAATTGGAATTACAGATGGTAGGTAACTCCATATGGTTGCTGGGAACTGAACCCAGGTGCTTTGGAAGAACAGCCAGTGCTTTTAAACACTAAGCCTCTCTCCAGCCCCAGCTCCCCCCACCAACCCTCACCTGAGACAGGGTTTCTCTGTGTAGCCCTTGCTGTTCTGGAACTCACTCTGTAGATCCGGTTGGCCTCAAACTCAAAAGATCCACCTGCCTCTACCTACACATGGTGTAACCTCTCTTCTCAATGGCTGACCCTCAGGCTTCCTGCTCCAGCAGCATAAAGCTAATGTGTCAGGGTTGTTTGGGGGACATTTGTTCAATTGTTTGGTTTTAATATTGGCCCTTTGGCATCTACAGACCAGGAAAGCTACCAGTCCCTGTTCCAGATGCAGCCTCGGGCCTCCCAAGCTCTCAGGCCCAATCCACGTGGCCTGGCTAGCCTTACGTCAAGCCTGAAGCCTAGCCTGCTGACTCTAGAAACAGCCTTACTGCATTCTCCTGGCAGGTGCTGATCTCCTTACAAGCCTGGAACTGCTCCAGGGCTGGTTTGACTACTAGACATGAGTCCAGGTGCTGTGCAATCAGGGCCCACCAGTCCTAACCTATCCTAAGGTGCCACTGAACCCCGGAAGCCCCTTCTCTCAGCTTAGAGACCCAACCAGTCACAAGAGACTCTGGAGGGGATACTTCTTTAGAAGCCTTCTAAGGATTGGGGGGGGGGGGAGATGGGTTTCCACAGGCCAGTGGAAACGAACGTTGGGGCCTGAGAGAAGGACTGCCAAGGTGGTAAGAGGCTTCGGGAAGAACAGGAGACGCAGCTGAGGGGCCAGTGCTCTCCATCGTCCGTGCAGTGGGTGTCCTGTGGTAGGAAGCCCTGTTCCTCAGCTCCTTCATCTATCTCTAAAGATGTGGGAAAGGACAAGTCTCTGCATTGTGCTTGTCAGGGTCGCTGTGACCCAAGCATCACAAGAGGACAGATGAGAAGTGGCCAGTGACATAAGGGGTGGTAGGTAGGAGAGAATCTCAGGAGAAAAGATGGGTAGCTGAGTGGTGGGTCCCCTTAGTAGGAGAGCCCAGAGTCACCACCTAGCCCTCCACCCCCGAGAGCCCTCCCCCTAGCATCCCATCACAGATCTTTCAACACCTCTCACACTGGGCTCAGATTTAACTTGATCTATACTCTGAACAAATCCTCTGGTGACTGGAAAGGCTGGGGGGCAAGTTGCTTATCATTCTCAAAGTTCTGAACTCCTGCCAACTTCCAGGTGGCTTAAGCCAAGCAGCTCCAGTGCCCAGACTGCCTGATCCTTCTACAACCTAGGCCAGTACTACCTTTCAAGCTCAACCTGACTTCTCGGCCACTCCCATCTCTAGGTTCCTTTCAGCTACAGGCTCTCTTTCACCCTGCCTGGCCTCTCAGCATCTGACTGAGGCAGAGTTGGTCCTAAGTGCTGTACAGTGTTGTGGAATATGTAACTAGGCAAAGATGTGTTGCATTTGTTTATACTGCATCTGTTTAACTATGTAAAATGTGTTGCATTCATGTTAAATAAAATTAGCCTGGGCTCAGAGAGGCAGGATTAGCAACTAGTTGACAGAAGTAGTAGAGAGAACTTGGAAGAGAGGGGGATGCCCAGGGCCAGCCAGACACGGAGGGAGTAGAGCCTACAGAATGAAAGAAAGGTAAAAAGCACTGGGGCAAAATGAAGATGAAAAGGAGCAGGTTAAATTAAGAGCTAGTAGGACAAGCATAAGCTAAGGCTGGGCATTCATAACTCATATTAAGTCTCCATGTCTTTATCTGGGAGCCGGTTGGTGGTTCAAGAGAAAGCCTGCTACAGCACAGGCCTGCTGTTACAACTCGCACTATGCCTACACAGATCAGCCAGGTGCTCTGTAAGCATCTACCTCTTGAACTACAACCTCCTAAACACAGCAAGGGTTTCCCAGCCACCCCCCACCCCCCTGAACATGGATTCTGAGGGTCAGGAGCAGGGCTTGCATCTACTAAGGCACCAAGCCCTACATACCTGGCTCTTGGTCCCTCATTCCTGCTCACCACTGGCCACACCTCTCCAAGGCTCCTTCCCTCAGGAAATGTCCTGTATTGAGCCTGGTACGGTGTGCTCTGATGAAGCCTGGCCAGTACCAGAGATACTCCTAGAGTAACTGCTGTCTGCAAAATGGGAGCCCTGAAGCCAAGCTTCCTATCCTGTGTATTAAGAGTAAATGGAATCAGCCATCCCCTCAACCAAGCACCAGCTGTCTCAGGATGCACCAAGCAAAACCAATCCTGGCTTCCTCTCAGCTTCCAGGTTGGCTTAGAGGATAATTCCAGAATCCTGCCCTGGCTGTCCTCCACTTTCTCCCACAAACCCCTGCCATTGACCTCAGCTCCAAAGTTGCTACACAAAGAGCAAGGGCAAAGCAGACAATTTTATGCCAGAGGCAAAGACACAAATCAGATTGTTTATTGCAGAAATATGGTCAAAGTTTCATTTAAGTGGCCCAAGGTGAGGAGGTGCTGGGCCTCCTGGGTAGGAGGGAAGATGGGCAGGGCAGAGGATCTTCATCTGGCCTGAGTCTCAGAGCTGCGAGATGATGTTGGGGGCCAGGCTGCAGGTGAGGCCTGTGCCATCTGGCTCCACATTCAGTACCTTCACTATGCCATTGTCTACCACCATGGAGAACCTGCGGGAAAGAGGTACAGCTGCACAAGCCCAGACAGCTGCCAGGGCCCCTAGTGCCAAGGGGAAGGCTTCAGCTTTACCTCTTCAGGCGGCGATTCCCAAAGAGAGACACCAAAGACTCATCCAGCAATAAATCTGTCTCCTAGAAGACAGGCAGAGACCAGTGTCAAGAGCCCCCAAACAGGTCAGGGGCTGCTCCCCACATACCATGTCCCTCAAGGGACTGCAGGTTGAGGGAAGGGTGGTGCACTCACCTTCCCAAAGGCCCCAGTGGGGTCAGCCAGGAGCCGAACCTGAGGGACAGAAAATAAATGTCACAAGGAAACCTCCAGCGCCAGTGAGATGATGGTGCAGTGAGTAAAGGCGTTTGCTGCCAAGCCTGACAACCTGAATTCAATCCCTAAGACCCCTCAAGGCAGGAGAGAACCAAATCTCACAGGTTATCCTCCGACCTCCACTCAAGCACCATGGCACAAGTGCCCACCCCACGCATAAAATAGTAAATAAAATGTAACGAAAAACAAGGGCTCCTCCCACCTGGGCCTGGCCCCCACAGGCCCCACCTCACCTTGCCTTGTGCCTTGTGGGCTCGACCCCACTCTTCAGTCACAAAGACATCATTAACACTCAGACATGCCAACACCTGCACTCCCTTGGCCTTCAGAGCCTCGGCTTGCTCCACAAACCCAGGCAGGTGGTTCTAAGAGGAAAACAAAGGGTCAAAAGAAAGACAGCTGTTGGTGTCCCTGAGCCTGCTCTTTAGCTTCCTATTCCCCCGGACCTCTGATTAGGTTAAGGTAGCCAATGTGAAACGCATCATTTCCTTTTCACCTTAGTAACTAGGAAGCTTGGACCTAAATATCTGTGGTCAAGAACATGAAATTCCCATGGGCAAAACCTTTGTCTCATTAGCACAAGTCCCAAGTACAGTTTCAGGGCTTCCTTCCACCAGCAGCACCAGTCATAGGTGTTAGATTTAACTGGGGTCCTTTTCTCCCAGCAGCGGATCCTGGAAAGAACCCTCACCTTAGAACAGCCAGGTGTAAACGCCCCAGGGACTCCAAACAGCACACCTTTCTTGCCCTTGAACAGCTCTGCCAGGTTCACCTTCTTTCCAGGCTCCCCTTCAAATACCTCCACTGAGGGGATGGCATCTCCCACCTGGAGACAAGGACCCCAGGGTAAAGAAAGGCCCAGGAAACCACATCCAGGCAGACAAAGATCTTGATGGAACCGGTGCTGACACCCAGCTAAGTGCTCCTTGTCAGTTTCCAGGAGTCATCTCTGTCCTCTGTATCTCCCAGCTGCCCGACATCTTACAAGCTTCAAGGAAGCCTGGCTTTGCTTAAGGCCAGTTGGTGGCAACAGAGAAAGGGAGAGTCCTCCACAAGTGTTGCAATACTGTGTAAAGGAGCCACCCAAGATGGATCAGTGCACAGAGAGGGGTACACACAGGGCTGTGTTTGGGGTTGAGAAAGTGCCTGGCAACAGGAACAGAGAAAATCCTGTCCACACAATGGAAAGCCAAGCCAAAGTGTTCAGGACAAAGGTTCTCCGGGTAGGTGGAGAGTGTCAGCCTCTCTGGAGGCTTCCTGTATCCACAGGAGGAAACAAAAGAAGGGAGGCTGGGCTCAGCAAGTAAAGGCACTTGCCACCAAACCTTACCACCTGAGTTCTATCCCCATAACCCATATGGTACAAACACACAACTGACTCCTGAGAAACGAGTCCTCTGACCTGCACATGCACACATGTGTTCCCAAATATACACCCTAAATACATACCAAAAAGTGTTTTTTAAAAAAGAAAGGGCCTTTAATCCCAATACTAGGGAGGCAGAGACAGGCAGATCTCTAAGAGTCTGAGGCCAGTCTGGACTACACATCAAGTTCCAGGCCAGTCAATGAGACTGTCAAAGAAAGAAGGGAGGGAGTGAGGGAAGGAGGTAGGGAGGAAGGGAGGAAGGAAGGAAAACAATAAAGTCCAAGGACAGGAGACGGGGTAGGTTCAAGAAGCTTCCAGAAAGAACAAACAGAAGCGGGAGAAACATTCACAGAGGGGAGACAGCAATGGGAAAAACAGAGCCCAGTCTCCAAGAGACCATAGCTCTTTCAAAAGATGAGGCAAAATAGCATCAAGTACTATCACAAAAGGGCTGGGGCTTTGAAGAGGGGTATAAGGGGTTTGAAAAGCGGCCACACAGAGAAGGAGTTATTTCAAGAATGCGGAAAATGACATATCATTCGGTGACTTGAAATGGTGGGGACCTGTCCCTGAACGTCGCACAGTTAATGTGACAAGAAGGCTCAAGGAATGTCCGGGGCGGAGGGGCAGTGAGGGAGTCTTGCAAAAAAGCATGACAGGAAGAAAGCGTCAAGGACAGCCTGCGACCCCGCGTGGAACCCAAAGAGCCGCGACACGGTGGACCCAGGAGAGCTAGGACCGGTCACCTTGATCGGGGCCATGGTCACGGAGGCGCTGCTGAAGCTGCGAGCCCCGCTACGCTCCCACCCTGCTGCTTCCCGGCCTGCTTTGCCTGTCTCGCACGTCCAGGTAGCCTCTGCACGGAGTATCGAACCGGCAATGCTGCCCAGGACGCGTATTCCAGGTTGTAGCATGCCCGCCCTATTACCGCAGCCCCTTGCCGGCCGCTGGATCTGCCCACCGAAGGCGGGTGCCGAATCCGCTCCGCCCACACCAGCTAGCTGCACCTACCACGCCGATTTATAGGGGCTGAGCCGTGACGCTTCATGACGCAGCGGGGCTTACAGGGGTCGCGTGCCGTATTTGCGTGCGGAAAGAGGAGCCCAGTTTACCGATGTAACAGTTTCTGACCCTGAACTGCAAACAGGGGTCGGGGTATTATCTAAGCCTCAAATGTGCCTATTGTACACTCATCGAGAGCCCAGCAGTGCACCTGCTTTGCATATGATTTGCATTGTACAGTGAGTGGGGCTCGGCGTACGCCGTTGCAATCTCCCTGAGAAACGCTTCCGGTATCAGGACTTGACCCAGCTCAGTCTTTCCCATCCCTTTGCTGCCGCAAAACCCCAGAAGTTCCAGCAAGTTCACCACTTCCGGGCCGGCGGTGTCCAACGGCTTCAACAGCGGAAGTGGTATAAGTGTGCACTCCTTCCGGTTCCGGCCTCGCGAGCTCCAGTGTAGCAACATGAAACTGCTCACCCACAATCTCTTGAGCTCGCACGTGCGGGGCGTGGGCACGCGTGGCTTCCCGCTGCGGCTGCAGGTACTTGCATGCAGGTTCTGTCGCCCTTGTAATCCGGGATAGAGACACCGGGGCCGACCCTACCTTGCTAAACCTTTCCTCCCCGCAGGCCACCGAGGTCCGCATCAACCCCGTGGAGTTCAACCCTGATTTCGTGGCGCGGATGATTCCTAAAGTGGAGTGGGCGGCTCTTGTGCAGGCGGCGGACACCGTGAGGACCCCGCCCCTTCTGTCACCCCGGGGGCGGGCTCGGGCTCCCTGCCAAGGCAGAATGTAGTTTGTATGCCCAGTGACCACGTAAGCCTCTTTTCCACAGTTAAACCTGGCCGAGGTACCCAAAGAGCCGACTGAAGGCTATGAGCACGATGAGACGTTTTTGAGGAAGATGCACCACGTGTTGCTTGAGGTGAGAATCCTGCCTGTCACTTGCCTATTGCTCCTACCCTGAGGCTCCCGGTGCTCAGCTTTGTCCTGCTCCCCCACAGGTTGATGTGCTTGAGGGCACCCTGCAATGCCCAGAATCTGGCCGTCTTTTCCCCATCAGCCGCGGGATCCCCAATATGTTGCTGAATGACGAGGAAACTGAAACATGACTTTAGCATTTGTGTGCATCAGTTGTGTAGTCTGTTAACTAGATATGTCATGTGTGACCCCGATCTCCCCTCAATTACTCACTGACCACCTTGTACTTGAGCTCCATAGTATATTTTTTTTTCTCATTAAAGGTTCAAAACCAAAAGCGGTTTCTCTTTGCAGCAAATATACATTAAAATAGAGTCTCTGTACAGCCAAGGGCTCTGGGCCCCCGGCTTGCCCCATGGCCCTGCGCCTCCCTGGCCAAACCCAAAAATAAATATAGTGTTATTGCTCTGCAGGGCATAGAGGCAGTGCTGTCCCCCACCCTTCGAGGTGGGAGCTGATGGGGGGCCCTGGCCACCCCAGGGGTCCAGGGGCTGGAGCCTGCTTGGAGTTATTGCTTCAAGGGGGGGCACTAATGCCCGATGCAAATGAGGAGAGGAGCGAAGGGGACAGGGGCCTTTGCTTTCCAAGCCCCCCTCTGCTCTGGAGAGGGGATCGGATTAAGCAGCAGCAAAAGCATCACCCACTGGGAGACTGTGGCCTCCATCCCCTTCCCTCCCTGAGATCAGTTTCTGCCTCCCACACATCCCCTGCAGCCCCCTATGGCTTCCGCAAGGCCCCCTACACTCTTGGGGGCACATTATGGCTTGCAAGGGGCAGCACTGTGCCCACACCTGGGCATTCACTCCCCTAGCTTCTGACGACTCCCCAGAGCGGGGAGGGGAGGGCATGAAGCCTACTCCCAGGGGCGGATGGCATTGCCCTGGCCCTGCCAGCAGGCTGTGGCACTGCCCAGACTCCAGCTTTGCCCCCTTGGGGCTAACACCCCATGCTGGGCAGATCCTGCCAGCCACCCACCCTGTCCCACCCCTTGCCTCAGTCCATCATGGCCTCAAGCATTTCCAAAAACAGCTTGTGCATGGGCACCTTGCCCTCCAGCTTCACCCCATAGAAATGGGCCAGGACTTTGCCTGCTGTCTGGCGGAGGAGTGGCAGTGTGAGCAGCAGCCTGCCTGCCCGCCTCCGTTCAGCACCCCCTCCAGGGCCAGCCCGGCCAGCTTCATACTCCAGCAGGGCCTCATGCAGGGCTTCACGCAGCTGCTCCACAGCCTCGGCATCTTCAATATGCACAGAGTCTAAGGAGGGGAGAGAACCGCCGGTGAAGGTACTACAGAGGGCAGGGGAATAAGGCACTCACTGCTGTCTGGGAGCCTGGGCCCATCCTTTCTCACCTGTGCCACCTCTTGTCCTCCACACCTTCCCCCACTACTTCCTTGTCAGCACAGCACTGGAGCTCAGAACAATTCAGGACCTTGGCTTACTTATTTTCTATAATTGAGCCTGTATTCCTTATCCATAGAAAGGGACTATGCCACCACTGTTGACAGTTGGAGAGTCTTCTGGGGAGACCTGTGTGTGCCTTCCCCGGACACTCACCAGAATTGGCAAGGGCCAGAGCCTTCAGCAGTACATACTCCTCCCGCTCCAGCCGTAGGGCTTGCAGTCGCCGTACCAGCTGCAATAGGGCTGCCCCCAGATCCCCCAGACCAGCTGCCCGGGCCCCTTCTTCATCCAGGACCAGGTCCTCAGCAAATGCCAGCTCATCCTGCAGTGGCAGTGAGCGCTGGGCCACACCCAGCACCAGCACCTCCATCCACACACTCTGTAGTACTGACATCTGGTCAGACAGTGACAGCGAGGAGAAGCCTGGAGGGGGGGGGACACGACGACAGGACCGGACAGTCAAGAATGCAGCCCAGACAAACGTGGCCCACCTGCTCAGAGATGCCCTGACCACCAAGCCCTTTACCTGGGATGCTCTTGGCCCAGCTGATGGTGACCACAATCTCTCGGTCAAAAAGGTCACAAAGAGTGGCCACAGCAGGGAGCTGTCCATCAGGGCTTGCTGGGTCAGGCATGGCATACAGCTTCTCAGGTTCAACCACCAGCAGATGAGACACCAGAGCATTCACTGGGGCTACAGTGACAGGTGCAGGACTAGTCATGAACACAGATCTGGCAGACCTCTGGAGCCCCTCAGAGCCAAGTGTCTTCCCAGACATTCCCCTCTGGCCTTCCTCGAGAGCCGCTGGTAACCCTGAAGACACAGTGCTCACTTCCTCAGAGAAAGGTTGTGAGCACTAGAAAACCTTTCCCTAGGGCTTGGGTATAGCTAGCATACAGCCCCAATCTAACATTTAGTAGGCCCTAGTTTCCCCAACAACTTAAAAGAAAAAACACCCCCCCCCCAATGCTGGTTTGTTTTTGTCAACATCTGGGAAGAGGGTTTTTTGGGGTTTTTTTGGAAGAGGGAATCTTAGTTGAGACAATGCCTCCATTAAGATTGACCCATAGGCAAGTCTGCAGGGTATCTTCTCCACTGACTATGATCGGTGTGAAAGAGCCCCATCTCCTGAGGGTAATATTGTTCCTGGGCAGGTGGGTCTGAGTAGTGTAACAAAGCATGCTGAGCAAGCCAAGAGATGAAGCCAGTAAGCAGTGTTGTGTGGCCTCTGTGTCAGCTCCTGCCTTGAGTTCCTGCCCTTATTTCTCACAATGACGGAATGTGGCCTCAGAGTTGTACACTGAAATAAACCTTCCCTCCCAAGTTGCTTTTGGTCATAGTGTTTTGTCACTGCAACAGAAAGCCTTCTACTTGGGCATCTGACCTATGAAGTAGTTTATTATCCTTGAATGTACTATACAGCCACCTATAACCCCAAACTCCCAATCCTAGTTTGCCTCCCAAGTGCTGGGATTAAAGTGCATGGGTGCTAAGGATAAAACCCAGGGTTTCATGCATGCTAGACAAACATTCCTCTATAGCCTGAGCTATATCATTGGCCAGTGAAGATATTGTCATAATTATTTCTTGGAGAGAAATGGGAGAAGATAAGACCTGAGTGTTAGGGCATGTAAGGAAGCCAAACAAACCTCTCCAGTAGCTGCCCCACCACCACCCCAAAGCTTAGGAACCAGGACCTCACCTGTCTTTCTTGGGCCTCCAGCTACTGCCAGAGGACCAGCAGGAAAGGGGCCTGGGAAAGGCAATGGGTCCACCTCTGGCCTCCGCTTGTATTTCTGTCGCCCACCTCGGACACGGTCCAGACGCACACCTTGGATTTCAAAACCAGACTGTATCCATAAAACACCTGCTCCAGAGAGCCCTACCCCCCCACCCCCCCACACACACTTTCTCCCCAGGCTTCCACCCAGCCCAGTGGACCACCCCCATCTCAGCCAGGCACTGCCCAGTGCTCACCCTCCTTGAGCATGCCCACCCGCAGGCACTTGGTGAAGCGGCAAGCCTGACAGGCCTTGCGTCTCCGCTTGGTGATCTCACACTCATTGGAGGCCGGACAGCTGTACTCGATGCTCCCTGCCAGGAAGAGGCAGGGCTCCAGTGGCAGCCTCCCAGAGCCCAGAGGGGGCCCAGGTGACAGAAGAGCCCTGACTCACCCCAGGCAAGCACCAGTCTGGGGGTATGGGGAGGAAAGGGAAAGCAGGATTCCATGAGCAGGGCAGAGGACAGCTACTGGGCTGGGGGAACCCTGCTTGGATGAGGCCAGGTCCTGGAGGTCAATCTATTATGTTTGCCCTAAAAGCATGCTGCTGAGTTGCAATGTCCTCATCTGCTGTCAAGGGCCACAGTGACCTCCAGGCTAAATCCAAGGATCCACTGAATCCTCCACTCCTTTGCCTAAAGCATTGCTTTCTACTCCTAGAAACCCTTCAATGCTGTCTTCCTTTGCTTTTAGAACAGGAGCTCCTGGTCCTCTTACACTCTGACAGCTCTAAGGTTTCTTTATGTCAGGGCTGTACTGCCTGTCTCAGTCTTCACATTCCCCAGACTTTCAGGTTTGCATTTCTAGCCTGAACAGCACTGTGCTCTAGACACACATGTCCAGCAGCCCTGGGACACCCCAAGGATCCTCCAATCCCCCACCTCTCCTGCCAAGTCTGCAACCACCTTCCATTGCTCAAGAAACCTAAGTAGCATCTTCCCTTCCTCTCAATCCACTCTAAGTGTTGGGAGTCTCACCTTACCCACCAGAACCCAGCTCCTGCCTGCAGCTTCCATTTTGACCTGTAACCATTGTGGCTCACTGGCCTCCCAGTCTCTGTTCTCTGCAGAGCAGCATGAGGGATCCTGTCCCTCTTCACTGATCAAATTCCCCCACTGAGTTCTCTTATGTATAAGTCCAAGTGAAGCAGTGTCCTACAGGTCCTCTCAGCCTAGCTCTATTGTCTTATAATTCAGTTCTGCACTGCATGCTCCTCAGACAAGGCCAGCCTCAGGGCACGCTGTTCCTTGCCTGGAGCTCTGGTCCCAACAGCCACTTTTGCTCTCTTTCATCCTATCACCTTGGAGGCCTTTCCTGAGCACCCTGTGACAAATCCCTCTTTGCAGCTACTTCTGGCCTGCAGAAACCATCAGGTCTTAACACCATCTGATACATAACACGCGTGCTCAGTTACCCTGTGGCTTTCAGCTCTTGTTTTGTTTTTTTGAGACAGTTTCACACTATGGCCCAGCCTAGTCTTGAATTTTCACAATCCTTCTGCCTCAGTCTCATGGGCATAGCCACTCCACGTGGCTGTTTTGCTTTGTAGTGTTTGTGGGATCTGTGTGGTTGCACCATGTGTGGATATGCATGTGGAAGCCCCAGGTCTGTGTAAGGTGTCTCCATCAATGGCTCTTAGCTTTTTTTTTTTTTTTTTTTTTCCTGAGACAGGGTCTCATTATAATATTATGTAGTCCTCATTGGCCTTAAATTCACTAGACAGACAAGCCTGGCCTCAAACTCTGTCTCCTGAGCACTAGAATAAAGGTGTGCCCAGTATGTCTGACTTTTCCACCTTACATTTTGAAACAAGGTCTTTCACTGAACCTAGAGTTCACCAACTCAACTAAAGTATCCCCAATCCTCCTGTTGCTGCCTCCCAACATCTAGCTTTTATGTGAGTACCAAGCATCCAATGCAGATCTTCTTGCTTGGGCAGCAAACACTTTACCAAATGTGCCATTTCCTCATGCCCCTCTTTAGACTAAAAAAAAAAAACAAAAAAAAAAACCAGGGTCAGATGTAGCCCAGGCTGGCCTCTTAACTCACTATGAAGTGAAGGATGATCTTGAACCTTAATCCTCCTGCCTCCACTTCCAAATGCTAAAATCACGTGCTACCACACCAGGAAAGAAAACACTGTCTTGCTGTATAGCCCATATGTACTCCACATGTAGCCCAGGTTCAACTTGAACTCACAATCCTTTTGCCTCAGCCTCCCAAATGCTGGGATTAGATGAATACCTTGTGAACCAACAGCTTGCCCTGTATGTTCTCTCACAATTATTACTGTCAGCTCCAGTTTCCCAAGGCTATTCACAAGGCCTGATGTGTGTTAGGTACCAGTAGCCCCCTCAGCCTCACAGGGCTGTTCCACGGACCAAGTCACAAATCACACAAGCAGCCAACAGGCCTTTCTCCTCCTATACCCAGTAGGGCTGCTATGCCCAGCTCAAGATGCTTCCTCGGGGAAGCCCTCCAGTCCTGATCCTGACAGGCCCTTAGCACACACCCTGCTCCTTGATTCCAAAGCATGCTACAACACAAAGAGGACAGTTCTGACCAAGTCAGTTCCTTTCCCTAGTCTCGCCTGTGTCCCAGACACAGTAAAGAGCAAGGGCAGTAAAGAGCAAGGGACAATCTGAGTGCTGTAGCACACACCTGTACCCCAACAATTCGAAGGCCAAGGAGAAGGGTCTCAAGATGGAGGCCAGCCTGGGCTACACAGCAAGACATACTTAAGAAAGAAAAATAAAGTAAAGGCTATGGGGACTTACCATCTGTGGTTTATTTACTTATTTATGTGTTTATTTTGAGACTGTGTCTCTCTATCAGTGTAAGTCTGGCTTTCTTGGAACTCAGCTATATAGATCAGGCTGACCTCAAACTTAAGAGAGATCCATCCACCTGCCTCTGTCTCTTGAGTATCAACTGTGACTTTACCTGCCTCCTATTCCTTTTGTCTGTTTTTCAAATGAGACAGGGTCTCATTGTATAGCCTTGGCTGGCCTTGAATTTAGAGACAGGGCTTCCTCTGCCTCCTAAGGGCTGGATTAAAGGTGTTCACCACCACTGTCCAACTGGACTTCCTACTCCTAATACTGGTGAGCCTTCAGTTTTCCTAACTGTAAAGTTATCGTGATTAAAAAACAAACAAACAAACAAAAAAACAAAAAAAACAGGCAGTGGTGGTTCACACCTTTAAACCCAGCACTCAGGAGGCAGAAGCAGGTGGATCTCTGTAAGTTCAAGGCCAGCTTGGTTTTCAAAAAGAGTTCCAGGACAGCCTTCAAACCTACAGAGAAATCCTGTCTCAGAAAACCAAAACTCAAAAAAACATACTTGAGGCTGGAGTGTAGCCCACTGGTGCAGTGTATGCTTAGCATTTCCAGGGCCCTGGATTCCATCACTAGCAACCTCCCTCACCCCATCCCTCAAAAACCATAGTGCAAGAGGAAAGCTGTAAAAAAAAAAAAAAAAAAAAAAAAAAAAATGAATGGAGCTGAGCATGATGGCTCAGGCCTTTAATCCCAAATCCCAGCATTCAAAAGGCAGAGGTCGGCAGATCTACCAGTTTGAGGCCAGCCTAGTTCACACAGTGAGACCTTGTCCATTAAGAATGAAAGAGAGACAAAGAGACAAAGAGAGAAGAATGAGCTGAGGTAATTTACAGCTGTGAGGTTCGTCCCACAGTCAGAATGAAGGTGTATGGAAGGCACCTGGCTCTGACCAGCAAGGAGCAGTTTTAGACTAGTGCACTTCAGCCAAGTCAAAACTAACTGGAACCAGCATGATAGCACATTAATGCCTTTAGTCACAATATTCTGGAGACAGAAACAGGCAGATCTCTGTAAATTTAAGACCAGCCTGGTCTACAGGGTGAGTTGCAGGCCAGCCAGGATTACACAATGAGATCCTATTTTAAAACAACAAAATCCTCACAACACACCTCACTGGAATGTCACTATCAGTGTGGTCCAAAGTCCAGTTACTAGTGATACACAGAGACAGCAGTCTGGAGTATGAAAGCTCAGGTAATATCAGAGTGTCATTTTCTGAATAGCTACAAAAGCCTCCCTATGTTTCAGCTCTCAACACTACTGACCATTTTCCATAGGGTTGCAACAGGGAGCTGAGATCCTGAAAGTAGAAGGGGACAGTATGAACCACAGGATAAGCACTCAAGAAATAAGTGTTCAAAAACTAGTTGAGGTCTGGCAAGATGATTCAGTAGGTAAGGGTACATACATGCTGTCAACCCTGATATCCCGAGTTTAATCCCCAGGTCCTATATCAAGAGTGTTCTCCCACAAGTTATCCTCTGGTTTCTACACACATACACTGGTTTTAAATGTATACACACACGCACATACAAGTAAATACATGCTAAAGAATTATTTAAAAAACTAGTTGCAGTGGGTTTGCCTATAACTACAGCACTTCTGGGAGGCTCAGGCAAAAGGATAGAGCTCTAGGCCAGACTGGAACAATAAGTTCCAGGCCAACTACATAGTAATATAATGTCTCAAAATTTTTTTCTTGTAAATTATACATGTTATAGTGGTAAAGTAACCCAATAGTGGTATAAAAACATAATAAGCCTGCCCCAGAGAATGTTCACATCAATGTCTTCACCATGTCCTCAAATTCTGACATGCTCTCCTGAGTGAGGAAAAAAAAAAAAAAAACAAACCACTGACTGAAGAGTGTGCAAGCCTATCCTTTTTTCTTTTCTTTTCTTTCTTTTTTTTTTTTTTTTGGAGACAGGATTTCTCTGTGTAGCTGTCCTGGAACTCTCCACAAACTCATAGAGTGCTAGGATTTAAAACGTGGGCCACCACGGCAGACACCGATCTCTTTAAAGCAAGATGCTAAAATATAACAAACCTTTATCAGTTACCCATAAAAAAAGAAATTCTGTGATATACTGGGGATAAGTAGGCAACTACTAGAGGCATTAAGAAAGCCAGGAGACCAGGGTACGGTGGTGTACCCTTTAATCCCAACACTTGGGAGGCAGAGGCAGGTAGATGGCTGTGAGTTCAAGGCCAGTCTGGTCTACAAAGCAAGTTCCGGGTCAGCCAGAGCTGCTACACAGAGGTGGGGGGGGGGCAAAGTTTTATGACAGGTGTAGGAACCTGCATCCCATCCTTGCTTATATCCCATTTCAATCCAGTGATCTATGCTAGTGCCTCTTTTTTCTTTTTTATTTCTTGAGATGGGGTTTCACATAGTCAAAGTTGGCTTTCAACTTACTAGATGAAGTTACTAGTAATTAATGATGACCTTGAATTTCTGATTCTTCTAGTTATCTCCAAATTGCTGAGATTTTAAATATGCAACACCACACCTGGTTACACAGAACTGAGGACAGAATCTAGAGCCTCCTGCAAGCTAGGCAAGCACTCTACTAATTCAGCTACATCCTCAGCCATATCTTCTTTAAAGAAACGATGTCCCTGGGAAATACAAGGATATTCAAACTCCAGACTGTCAACCACAAGCAGCACTAGACTATGCCATCACTGTACCAGCACTGTTGGAAGGTGCCAGGCCCAAAGGGTACAAAGCAAAGGGCACAGAAGCAGGGAATGAGGGGTAGAGGCTCACCCTGGATGGTCCTCTTGAAGAAGGCTTTGCAGGCCTCACAGGATGCCACACCATAGTGGTAGCCAGAGGCCACATCCCCACAGACAAGGCAGAGGCGTTTGGGCAGAGAGCTGAGCACTAGCTTCCCACTGCCCTGCTCACCAGACCCTGCCCCCTCCCCATCCTCCTCCTCCTTGTGCCCTGGAAGGCAGCGGGCTGGAGCTGGACCTGGGGCCAGGGTCACTGGGGGTTCAGTCTCAGTCTCTGAGGAACCCTTTGGACTGTCAGGACTGGCTGGCTCTGCCTTGATGTAGAGAGGCTCGATGCCCACCACCTGGCTGGACATGATGCTGGTCACCTGCAGGGAAAGACCATCAGGGTCACAGAGAGGCACTCTGCCACATGGGTTGGGCAACACTGGGCCTAAGCCAAGCTTCCAGGCTCAGCCAAAGAGAGGGAGGAGGCAGAGTCCAAGTCAGGGCTGCCCATGATGAAGAGGGCCCCCAGCTGTCACCATGGGAACAGAGTCTCCAGAGCCTCTGGGGCCAGTTAACTGACAGCAGGTCCTCCTCTTGGGAACCTGGGAGAGGCTAGCTCCCACCCAATCCATGAAGCAGGGTAATCTCAACCTGTAGGCAATGCTCAACCCCTAAACATAATACCTCTCCCCAGTTTTCCCAGATGTTGGGAGGACTCCATTTAGGTACTGAGTATTCAAGAGCAAATCTAGGAACAAGACGGGGGAGGGGGTGGTAGCCACTCTCTCAGGAGTTTCCACATGTCCACACATGTTCACTCTCTCCTGAGGACCTTCTCACTCACACATGGCCTTTAAACACTCAGTTCTCAGTCTCACAGCAAAAGGACACACTCAATAAGCAAACTCACACTCGAGTCTTATAATCACACACTCTTCTCTCTCCAGATTCTTATGAACCTCTCACCTCTGACACGCCACCCCCTCTTGCCTTAGCAAGCCCAGTCCAGCCACACCGTGTAGGGCGCGGCTCCACCTCTTTTGCACCCCAGGCCTTGCAGGGTTCATTCTTACACTCCAGCTGCCGCAGAGTCCACCACCTCCCGCGACCTCCCGGGGCGCCCCCCTCCAGGACCACCCTCTCAACCTGCGCACACCTATGGGAAGTTGCCTAAAGTTACTTGTCTCCCCCTCCCCCACTACCCGCGGGGGACTTCTATCAGGTTATCAGGAAGTAAGAAGAGGAGACAAGGAAGAAGTTCTCCCCCGCGCTGCGATGACCTATGACCCAGAGAGAAGGGTGGCCCAAAGCCCCTGCAAGCGCCCCCACGTGGCCTCTAAGGCCCCTTTCAACCCCAGCCCACCCTGAGGACTCCTGCAATGCTCAAGTGTCGAGCTCAACGCTGCCCGGAGGCTCTTTCCGAGGCCCGAGAATAACCCGGGGCCAAGACTGGTCCTGACCCGGCCACTGCACTGGGCGCGACCCCGCCCGCAACCCGCCCCCCGCCGGCGCTCGCACATGGCCCCTGCCGCGCCCGCCCACCCCCGCGGCCGCGCTCCCCTCCGCCCCCGGACCTGGGGCTCCGACAGGGCTGGCTGGCAGGCATGGGGGCCGAGCGGCCCGGAGCGCCGGGATGAGCAGGGGCCGCCTCCTCCGGCCGCGCCGCCCCGCCGCGCTGCGTCCCCCTCACTCGGCGGCGCCGCTGGCTGCTTGTAGGACACAAAAGGACATCGCGGCCGCTTCCTACTCCGCTTCCTCCAGCTGACAGCGGAGGCGGGGTCGGCCGCGCGCATGCAAAACAGGGGGCGGGGCAAGGTACCTTATGCTAATAATTCGAGGGAAGCGGGCGGCGCCTGCGTACCCGGAGGCTAGTGGGCGGGCCTTAGCGACCCACGCTTGCGCGGCCGCCCCGGGGGCGGGGCCTGAGCCTAGGCAAAGCACAAGGACTCGGAGCCGGAGCAAGGAGCCGCCGAAGCGCTTCTGCGTCATTGTGGTGGGCGGTGCCCCACCTTACAGGAGTGGGCGTAGCAGCTCAGTGGACTCTGTGCAGGCGGTGAACGTATATGTAAATGAGGGGGCGGGTTCTGTGACTGCATATGCATAAGTAATGCATAAGTAAGGGGTGGGGCTTAACGGGGTCGCTCCCCCCACCCCAATGTTGATGGGACACTTGACACTGACTTGTTAGATTAGCACGCCTGCGGACCCTCCAGTAGGAGAAGCAGCCCTAAAACATTAAGTATCCTTGGTTTTTGAGTTACTGGAAGGTAGTACTGGTGAGACGCGGGCGGAGAAAACTCAAGGTCACTACGGTGACCGAATGAAGGTCACGGGAAAAGGCGGGGCCACGTGCGTCCGCCTCACGCAAGCAGCCACGCACTGACTCGGGAACCATGCACATACTCTTTAATTTCTCTAGGGCTCAAATTCCATGCAGATGGGGTCGAGCTTGGGTCCGGGGAATGGGACAGGGCATGGGGCTGACGTCTGGTAGGGCGCTTGAATTGGAGGTTCACTGAGACATACAGAACAGCCTCTGGTTCCGGCGCTTCTTGAGCCCCTCGATGTATCCCTGCAGCTCTTTAGTCATGAAGTGGGTCCTGCCAATCGTGGTCTTATATGCTAGGAAGAAAGCAAAGCTGAGAGCAGGGCTGTGAGCAATGGCGAAGCTTTCCCCCCTTCCCCCCGTAAGCATTACCATTGTGGTTCGAGGAACCACAGGTGACTTGGGGTGGCAGTTAGTGCTGGATTTATCTGGATTGGTATTAGTTTGGGGGATTTTGGATTTCCAAGGTATGATGTGTTGCGGTGAAGAATGGAAGTGAAGAAGGCTGAAGATGCTACAAGCCTGAACGGAGGCAGTGAGAGTCAGAAGCTGTACAGCCTCCCCTGGGCCACCCATAATAACTAATCATCTGGCCCTTTTCCCCCCAGATGCTCATGTCATCAACAGAAGGTTACCTAGATAACCCAATATCCAGTAAAGTTACCCAAATAATCTATATGTGTCGCAGCTCCCTCACCTGGGAGTGAAGCAAAGCTACACAAAGGCTTTCTGTCAGTCCGTCCACTGAACAAATGGAGAAAACAGACCTGCTATGCTCCATTGAATGTGTCTGTGCCTCCTCACACTACTTTTGGAGAACCCTTGGAATATTTGTGAGTGTTGAGGGGATCTGACAAAGATATACACATCCTGAAAGTCCACTCCTGAAGCCCCAAGGCCTGCCAAAGTCACCAGGATCTTTTGTGGAAGCTGGGGTGGGGGTGCTCACTAATGAGGGCTTTGCTGAGAATTTCCAGAACCTCATTCTCCATGAGTTCCATCAGCGGCAAGGGCAGCTGGAAAAGCAACAAGAGGCTCAAACAACCAAGGGACCCCAGTTCTGTGTGGAGCTGAAATGCTCCCCACATGACCTCCCTTGCCTGCCTGCCCCACTTTCCTGAAACCTGCCCCACCCTGCCACTACTGCAAGTTTCAACCTACCCACTACCCACCCATAGCAGTTTCCCCAGACCCCTCCAACCCTGTTCTGCTGCTCTGTCCAGTAGGCTTGATGCGGCGTTTGCTTTGACAGACTGAGTGATGATGATTCTGAAGTAGACTTTACTAGAGAAATGAAAAGAGAAACCAATCATCTTCAGGCCCCTGGATCTTCCCTGGAGCAGAGTTGTATATGGGTAGGCACATGGTGGAAATGGGGTTCAGAGATTAGTTCCACATACTACCTTCCTTGAAGGCTTGTATGGGAAATAGGTTACATTCCTAAGCTTTTGAATCCCACCCAAGTGGGATCCAGAACTGAATGCCCTACCTGTAAATGGAGTCATAAGAATTGTCTTTTATGAGAATAGTGCATCTTGTGTGAGTGTGTTGTTGGGAAGAGAACCCAGGACCTTGAATGAGCTAAATAAATAAATAAAAGCACTCTACCAGTGAGTACATTTCCTGGCCCAGAATGTCCTCTTATGGAAGTTGTGATGTGTAAAGGTCACAGTACCACAAGTCCTATGCCTGACACATAACAAGTGTTCAGTATACATCAATTGCTCTATTGCTATCAAGCTTTTTTGTTTATACATGGTCTCACTATGTGTCTCTGGCTGTCCTGGAACTCAATATTAAGACCAGGTTGACTTGAAACTCACAGATAGCCACCTGCCTCTGCCTCCTGAATACTGGAATCAAGAGTGTACATTTCTATACCTAGCTCTATTATCAGTGCTAATTCCCTGAAAATTTTGGAAACGGAAGGGACAGGATGGACACACCAGTCTCAAACAGTGTTTGGCATACTATGAATGTACTTTTCTTAACCAAGTCAGACGTGGTGACACGCATAATCCCAACACTCAAGAAGATACTGAGAATCCAAGGTCATCTTGGGCTACATAGTGAGACTCTCATTCAAAAAAAAATACAAAATAAAAATAAAGTAACTATTGACTAAAAGAGACTTCAAAACAGAGAGATCAGAGCCAGGGAAAGAACTCTGTCCTTTTAGCAGTTATAGTGACGAAGTTCAATCCACAGATGAGAGAGGGCTTGGAATGTAGTTCAGCAGTAGAGGACTTTTCTTTGCATGCGTAATGCTCTCCGTTTGGCACCCAGCACCATATTAAACAAGAACCCACAATGTCTTTACTATCCTGATGCGTGCTTTCTTCTGCGTTTCCCGGGTTCGGAGTAGTAGGGCGCCTGCCCATAGGGGGCGCTCAAAGAATGTCTGAGTTAAATCGTGATGGATTTAACACCCCCTCGCAGGAAATCCTAGAAGTTTGGGATCCTATGGGCTTACCCCCATTTCGCAGGAAGGGAAGTTGAGATCCTGGCTAGCCCCACCCCTGCGCACACCCATCACCCCAGCGAGACCTCACTAACCAAGGGAGATCACAGATTCGTCGTGCTCCTCATCTACCGCGAAATCACGCTCCAAAGACCTGCCACGGCGCAGCTCTAGCTCTAGACGCGCTTGCTGCTGAATCTCCTCTGGGTTGAGGTTGAGGTTTTCCTTCATAGAAATGGTCTGGCTGTACCTGCGAGACTTCTCTACAGCTCTGCCCTCCTCGTCGAAGTCCTCGCAGACGTCGGCCACCGACACATTTGCTGTAGACAGCGCGGCCGTGCTCCAAAGATCACGAACATCTCCATACAGGGTTGACTTGGCGGAGCTGCGGCGACGGTGTGAGTGTTTGGGCACCGCCTGCGGGTCACACACACCACACACACACACACACACACACACACACACACACACACACACACACACACAAAAGAAGAAGCAAGGGATTCAGGGAGTTGGAGAAGGCAGGGAGAATGGGCTGGAGTGGGGACTGGCAGCGCCCAGGCTAAATGACAGGTTACTCTAGGAGTCCTAAAATGAGTCTGGGCTCAGGGGACTCAGGAAGACTTCTTACTTTGGAAAGGTTTTCTTCCATCATTCCGCACCAACGGACCAGTCACCTCAGGACTCAGTCGAGAAGGGGGTCACGCTCCTGGAAGGGGGAGGGGGCAGAGTCTCCTCCCGGATGGCGATAATGGTCTCGTGGGAGGAGACTTCCAACTGCAGTTGTCATCGTCATCAATACTCTAACTTGCTCCCACCCCCAATATCGATGCCAAGATTGGAGGTGCACAGGTCAATTCTGAATTCGGTGTCTCCTCCGGGCACAGACAGGAGTCTGAATACCTAAGCTCAGCCCAAAGGGACACGACTTGACCGGTGTGGGTGCCCAGGAATGACAGTGAGCTAGATATACCTCCCCCATGATGGCGTGAGGAAAGCACTCGCACACCCAGGAGGACTCACTCGGTGGTGCAGACTTTTTGTTTATTGATGCAGGTTTTGAGGCACAGTCGTGAAGTGTGAGGGACAAGCAGGGCCAGGACAGCGAGAGAGAAAATCTTGTTTGGTGGGATTTGGAAATGGCTGGATGTGAGGAACCAGCTGGGGAAGAGCGGTGGTATTTGGCAACCCTTGGACTCCTCCCAGGGTTGCAATCGAGTTGAACAAAAGAGGGCTCTTTGGTCAAATAAGCCAAACATGCCTGGGCATCAGGAGGAAAGAAGCCCCTGGCGGGGTGGTCCCGGGACAGGGACCCTGCTCCTACACCGGCCTGGCCTTGCCTCGGAGACGTCCAGAGGGTCTCGAGGGCTTTCTGGGGGCATTGGGACGGCGGCGACCCCGAGGCGCACGAGGCAGGGCGCAGCCACGCTCACTCTGTGTGTCTGAGGACTCATCGATGAAGGCCAGATTTTCACTGGGGTAATCCAGAGCTGAAGCCGTTGGCGGGGAAGGTGTCTTGGCTTTCTTTGGGAGCTCAGGGGATCCCGGCCTGCAGGCTGGCTCAGTAACACCAGGAGGTGCTGGCAGGGAGGAGGGAAAGAGTGGTTGCTCCTTCTCTGGAGGCGGGGCACTGGGCCCGGCTCGCTGGGTCACTCGTGCTGTCATTGTGCCGGTCCAGCTAGCAGCCTGAGCCGTGAGGCCACCCATCTGCACAGAGGGGAAAGGGTGTCTGCGGACTGCAACTCCGGGAACTGCCCCTTTACCAATCACATCTGTCTTTTCGCCTGGCCCTCGAGCCTCAGCCTGACACCTCAAGCACACTGTCCCTTCCTGCATTGGCCCGAAGCACCCCATCCCTTCTCCAGGAGCCTTTCTAGAAAGCCCCAGTTTTGTTTCAACCTTCGCTGCCTCTCTGTAGCAAAATGCAGGTTTCAGATAAATCACAAAATTTATTACCAGTATGTCTCATACAGTATTTGGGAGATGTTCTAAAATCTTATTTGTTGTATATCTGAAGTTCACATGTAACTGGCCTGCCTAGTTTTGTTTTTAAAATAGAGTCTCATTCTATAGCCCAAGCAGGTCTGAACTCACAGCCATCCTCCTGACTCTGCTCTGCTTACCAAGTGCTGGGATTTACAGACATGTACCACCCCGTCTTTCTGCGTTTTTATGTACTAACCCTAGCGACCCTATCCATTGAAGTCTAAGGGTCGAGTTCCTGACAAACCTGAATTTACCACCATTTTTCCCAGTAGCTCATGCTCTGAGTCTCAGTTTCTGAGGAACCCACATTTTGGAAGGGAGTCTGGCTAGTCAACCAGCTCCTAAGGGTGCAACACACAAGTGACATACAAGGCGCATGCACAGCAGAGAACAGATCCTGGGAAGCGTACCTCTGCCCGTGTGCGGCGGGACACGGCTCGTAACCAGTTGCCTATGGTGGTGAGCACCGAGGCAAAGTAGGCTAGGCCGAACAAGATCCAGAACCACGCCAGAGGTTGGTAAGCTGAGTTCTGCCGGGGGCTAGTGCCTAAACATTGCACAGGGAGGGAAAAGTAAATTGATGGGGGCAGGAGGCAAATGTGTGAGCCTCTGGTTCATTGCACCTTATTGAGAGAGTTCCCTCCCCAGGGAAAAAAAAAAGATTGCTAGACTATGTAGATGTTTGTATATAGTGAATGCATGCAAGTGGGGGGTGTTGAACTTAATGTATGTATGAGCATGCATGGGACTTGGGCATACAAGATGGAAGTGGGCATTAGGTGCTGCCTGCTGGAAGCACCATGGTGCATTTCATGATGGGTGTGGTAGCTGGGGCAAATACCCTCAGTAGTGCACAGAGAGAAGGAATAAAGTAATTAAGAAAAGTGCTGGGCAAAGGTAGCCTCACCAGGGACATAATCGCCAAAGCCCACGGTGGTGAGTGTCACTATGACAAAGTAGATGGCTTCCAGCTTGCTCCAGTCCTCCAAATAGGAGAACACGAAGGTAGGAGTTAGGACAAAGAGCAGGCAGCCAATCAGCAGAAAGAGCACCGCAGACAGTATTCTCACCAGTCCAGGTGGCACATGCCACTTCTGCAGGAAGGGACAATAGAGAGGGCCATGGAGATACCAGGAGCCTCCAATTCCCTTCTCGCCACACCACCCTACCTCTATCCTGGCTTACTGTGAGGCTTTCTAGGAGTGCACACTCACACGCCAAGAACCTAGTGAAGAGGGAAACAGAGCAGCTCACCAAGAAGATTGCTTCAATGTGGCCGATGCCCCGGCGCAGAGAGGAGCCCAGCCGGTCCCCGACCCCCGCCAGCAGCATCCCGAACAGCGGGATCCCCACCAGTGCATAGAAGATACAAAAAAGGCGACCGGCATCTGTCTGTAAGGCTGTGTTGCCATAGCCTGGATAGAGGGGGCAATGCAGGAAATCTATGTGCCACCTCTCCCTGTACCTACCCCCATAGGGAAATTCCTTGCCCCTTGCCTCCCTCCACATGCCCCATCTCCTCCCCCACCGATGGTAGTGATGATGGTCCCCGAGAAAAAGAAGGCACTGCCCAGGTTCCAAGCTGTTGAGTGGTTGCTGCTATTGGTCCAACTGGTGTCTGGGTTTGCACCCCCTCCCAGGGTTTCAGCCACGAGCTGCAGGACAAGGCGCACAAGGAGGAACCTCAGTCCTTCCCTCTAGCTGGGCCAGCTCCCAACCCTCCCCATTCCTTACACAGCTTATTGGCTATGTATCTCATCTTTCCTTCCCTCCTGTCTGGTTTTAGTTTTTGACAATGTCTCTCTCACTCTCTCTACTTAGCTATCTTTTTGTGGTTGGTTGGTTTGGTTTTTTGAGACAGCATATCACTATGTATTCCAAGCTGCCCTGCTGTGTAATCCAGGCTGGAACTATTGATCCCTCCTGCCTCAGTCTCCCAAGTGCTAGAATTACAAGCATAAAGCCACCATAACGGACTTGGCACAACAAATTCCTGACTTTACTGACAGGAGCACAAATACTGGGAGCAGGTGCCTGGGTTCAATCTTGGTCCCTGGGCAAGTTAATGTGTGGTTTCTCAGTTTCCTCCTCCAAATGGGGGTGATTGTCAGAGCACCAATACCGTAGATCTGGCATGAAGAATGAACACTGGGCATCTGTTGGGTAATTTCCCACATGGACTTTATGACCTGTGTGTCCCTGCTTTCTGAAGACCCCACCCACCATCCCCACTGCTCCTGTGGAAAGTGAGTCTGAGTGACTGGCCTTTAAACCATGTATTGAAAGATAAGACCTCCCCTCCAGAAAAGTTCTCTTCCCTCCATCAAATTTGTGGCCCATTTTAGGATGTTTATATGTGTGTGCTTGTGTACACATGCCACCTCATAATACTGAAGCCAAACCCAGTATTTCATATGGAGTGTTCAGTAGGCATGACTGATTGAGTCAAGCGCCAGGGTCATGTCTTCTTGCCTGCCTGCAGATGCCCCAGGGGAAGTCTGTGTCTGGAAAGAGCTTGTCCCGGATGCTGGGATGTCAGAGCACCCAGAAGATGCCATGAAGAAGGGCCCTTCCCCAAACTAAGCAAGGAGAGAATCCATGGGGAAGTTTACAATCTGTCTCATCTCCCTGATGACAGTCCCCATTAGCAAGACCCACTCCCCCCTGAAGTAACTGCTGTAAACCTTCAAGGTTTCAATTTGTCCAGAGAAGAGTCTAGACTCCTTAGCGCAGCATTTATTTATTATTTTGGAGGGGGAAAAAAGATGACTCTTATAGTCTAGGCTATGTAGTCAAGGATGGCCTTGAATCCCTGATCCTCTTCCTTCTACTAAGTGCTGACATTACAAGTGTACCCTACTCTGCCCCAGGTTTGGCAGTGTTGGAGAGGCAACCCAAGCCTGCAGCATGCTAGGCAAATAATCAACTGAGCCACAGCCCGTGGCCCTCTCTCTTATTGGAGGTTTGTTTGCTTTTGTTTGGAAAGACAAGGTCTTACTAGCCCAAGCTAACCTGGAATTCACAATAATCCTTCTGCCTCAGCCTGAGAGCTAAGATTACAGGTGTGAGCTACAAACATTTTTCTAAACTGGTCTTGATTTTTCCTCTTGGGATTCTGATTTTGCACCCAAAAATACGGCACCCTTCTCCCAAGATTCTCTGATGTAATTCCATTTTTTGTAATAATGGCCTTTGAATAAAGAGGTGAGATATCTGGTTAAAAGTGATTTGGTTTGTTTTAGATTTATATATTTATTTTACTTTCTTACATGTATGTACATGCATGCCTGGTGTCCACAGAGGCCAGAAAAGGGTGCCAGATTCTCTGAGTCTAGAGTTATAGATAGTTATGAGCACTGTGTGGGTGCTTGGAACCAAACTCAGGTCCCCTACAAGAATAGCAAGAACTCCAAACCTCTGAGCCATCTCACCAGCCCCAGCTATCTAATTTCTTATTTTGCAACTTTCCCCCACAATCCCCAAATCCTTTCATCGTCCAGTGTGTTCTAATTTTTGTTTCAAATGACCAGGCATCTGCTGTCTCCAGTTTCTGCTACACACTGAGCTTGCCAGCTTCCACTCTGTAGCCATGCTGTCCCTCTGCTTAGGGGTTATTTGTCCCCACACTATAAATTCTGTCCCTCTCATTTGGTACTTTCCAACTTCCAGCTCTCCCCAAAGCCTCTGCATCTCCCTTCATTCCCAGCACACAACCCAAAACCCAACAACCATTGAGTGCTTAGTGAAGAAGGACGTCTCCCTTTTCATGGCTTCCTACAATGATCTGTCTGTCCCTG